GAAAAAACCCCCCAAAATGTTTAACTCCCCCACCCCCACGTTTACACACACATATAAACGTAAATACGTGTCTGGTGCACCAGCGCGCAAAAACGGCAATTGTGCTACACATGTTACATATCGCCACGAACGTCGCAGTGAGAGCAATTATTTTAGGGCCATCAATCACTGATAACACTAAACTTATGAGCGGTAACAGCTTTTAAAGCGTCGCCTATGGCCAATTTTGGGTGTTATCGTTTTTTGAGGTTTCGCGCGCGCACGCACGCAATTTTAAGGCTTGACATGTTTGGTGTCTTTTTTCCCGACGTGACCCCGTCTTTTATATTTTACCAAAAAATTGGGTAATAATAAATGTTTTATCATTTAATATAGGGGAAACTGTTTTAAAAAAAAAAATTCGGTAATTTTTCCTTAATATAGTAAAAAATAAAACCCCAGTGGTGAATAAATACCACCAAAAGAAAGCTCTATCTGTCCCCAAAAGGGGGTAATAAAATTCATTTCAGTACAGAGTTGCATGACGGAATAATTGTCAGTCAAAGTACCGCAGCGCTGAATACTGAAAAATGGCCTGGATGGGAAGGGGGTTTAACACCGCGGATGTCAACTGGTTAAATACTGCTGCTGTTTATTGTGTCCTTCAGGAATTTAATTATGGGCACTTAAACCTCTTGCTCTTTATCCAGGAACAGCTGCAGAATCTAGAAGACAGAAGGAGAGAGATCAAAATTTCAGTCCAGCTGCAAGAATATCAGAACAAAGAACTTGAAGAATTGCGCAAAAATCTTGCAAAGGAACTAGCAGTCTACAAGTATGTTCCATCCAGCCAAGGAATCATAGGTGAAATTCTATGACAATACAGCAGTAGTTTTGAATGTATTTTCTTCTACATCGGGGCATTTAAGGCACTTACTTTAGAAAGTGAGTACAGTGCTTAGAATGACATCAGAGTGAACCTAGACCATCCCCATGTTAGAAAAATTAGAATGAGGTCATAAACCTTTAAGACAGCTATAGACCATGAGGGCTCTGCCTACATGCAACAAGAAAAACACAAAACCAAAGCAATACATATACAGTATTAGCCTTCTTAGCTTAGTAAATTATACAGATGGAACCACAGATAGCAGAAAATACATTTAAGTTGAGGAAAGTATGCCTGCTATCCAAAAGGCACCTAGAAACTGAGATACTAGGAAAGACCCAACTTCTGTTTTTTTTTACATGGCATCTTCCGGTACAGCACTGGAGAACAGCTCATAAATAAAACAACTGCAGGATAGGGACTACCACCTGCAGAACTTTTTTGTCAAAGGCACAAAAGCCCTTGACAGGAGGCAGTTCTGTGCTTTGGAGTCTGACCAGGGAAAGAGTGGGTTAGTTCCTTTGCCACCATATTACACAAAACCATCCCAGAATGTAATTTTAAAAAAGCCTGATGTGGCTTTCTGTTAAAAGGCAGAAAGTGCCTTGCTAATAGTGGGCTCCTGTCTTAAGCTCACCACACACGTTAAAATCTGATTGTACAGTTTCCTTTAGATCTACCAATAAGTATGTAGTACAAGAGCCGGTCTGATTGTATAGAGATTTAGTGGATAGTTTAGGTAGGTGCTCATATTACATAGATTTGGTAGATCTAAAGTTGATTGTACAGAGATTGCATAGTCAGGTTGTAATGTGTGTGATGAGCCTTAGACTAGGGAGAATGTGTGGCTGTGATTAAGCTGGCCAAAGCGCTGACAGTCTGCCCTTTTAACCCCTTCGTGACTGACGACGTACAGTGTACGTCGCCAGCATCGGGGCTGTTTAAACAGACTCCCGGCGACTTTTGCCGCCGGGAGTCTGTTTAAACTTGTAGAGCCGACTGTCGGCTTTACAACAGAAGCGATCCTGGCGACTTACCTGTCGCCAGATCATAAAATGTGGAATATAACATGGGTGCAAAAAATGAAAAAAGGGCCTCAGTCATGAAGGGGTTAATGTACTGCACAAAGCCCTTTGTAGAAGCTGTTCTCTATTACTCCTTTGGACCTATAAAACTGGGCTGCAAAACCCTACAACTGACAATAGTGATTGGGGTTACTTCTATATATACTCACGGTTTGAAATTGAACCCCCGCAATATATAGGCACCCGCCTTAGAAAATACTGGGAAGGACGTTAGAATTTTTTTTAGAAGTAATGGCCTCTAAATGGGATTGCAACTGCTCCAGCCCACTATATGCAAAATGCAGTGGTATCTAAGGAAGGGTAAAGGCTCACTTGAGGAGACTATCCATTTTAAGGTATAGGATATTTTAAGGGCAGATCTTATGTTTTTGGAGACCTTGAGCAGATAAGCATTTTAAAAATATAAGACCCAGGCCTTGGAATTTTCTTTGCTAAATGTAAATCTCCTTTAAATTTTTTTACAATTGCCTTGATAGTGTCTTTAAAAATATGAATTGGAAAGATGGCCTTGCCATCTAAAGCCTCCAATAAATATTTCTATGAAGTGAAAGTTTCTTTGATTTCTGCTGGGTGTCAAACATGGCATGCATGGCAGAAAACCTGAGAATTCCTCCTTTATGGTAGAGATGAAAGAGCAAAATCCTCTTCTGAAGCACCTCCTCACTTTATATTGAGAAAGGAAACCAACCAGCAGCTAAAAAAGAGAAATTTCTAAAGGAATGGTCACTAGCTCTAGGGACTACTGGTAATCTCCAGCAGGTATTAGCAAGATGGAGAAACCATGCTAATATGTTTGAAGGCCACAGGAAACATGTTTTGATGACTTGTGTATAGAGGAAAGATATTAGATCAGGCTAAGCAGGTTAATCTTTTTATTATTTTTGTTTTCTGAGTTGTCAGGTTTTGTTCTTGCAATCTGAGTAAAATTATCCTTGATTCCTGTCATGTAGAGAAATTCTCTTCCAAGTGAGGGAGATGCCATCTGAGACAATTGTCCCCAGAACAAATGTCCCCATTGAAAAATGTTCCCTCTTTTCTTTGCTTTCTGGTACTATGTGAGGAAGAATGAGGGAAAGCCAGCAACATTCTGTTAGCTGTTTTTTTAATCATTGGCCAGACACATTATTTTGATTAAACCTTCAGCTCAGACATTTGTGTAAAGGAATTAATGATTAATCCAGTTAAGCATATACCACGGGCAACAAATTCTCATAATTTAATCCAAAATAACAAAGACTCAAGCACTGAATGCTTATGGCTAGTTTAACTGGTTAAAAACATAAACATTGATCTATTTATTTAATCTTAATCCAAGTGAATTATTTACTTAGAGGGCTATTCACTAAGCTGCCGAAGGCAGCCGAGTGAATAACCGGGCCAAAGTGAACTGAGCAGAACGGCGTTCGGTTTTTCACTTTGGCTCCGTATGGCTGATTTCAGCCGTACATCGGTTTCAATCAGCCGTACATCGGCTCCAATCAGCTGTACATTGGCTGGCTTCAGTCAGCCGAACATGCTCTGCATGGCCATACCGAATCATATGTTCCTTTGAGGTATCATTGGCGTCATGCAGTCCCATGCGATACACAAATTTTGATGCATGCAACAGGCCATTACCACATAAGCACAAGTATCCAGATATCCAGATATCCAGATCCACACCCCAGTCTAGTTTTGAGTTAATTAACTCAGCTTATTAACTTTCACTTGCAAAGCAAAACAAAAATCCCCCTGCTGCTTACTGGAGACTAGAAAAAAACGGTTTGTTCAACCAAGTGAGGTTTTGAACATAGTGCAGCTGAATAAGGGGGAGTCGGAGAGTTAATTGGCAATATAAAAAGGTAAATTTATTCAAAATGCAAGACAACAAACCATAACACATTAACGGACTACACAGTTGATTCCCACTAACCCTACACCTTTAAAAATGATTGCAATAATCCATTCGTGCAAAACAACATTCAAGACCTTTTGGAGCTTGTAGATCACCTTTGATTAGGTAATTTAGCGGTTCTCAATGTTTGAGAAAACAGCGCTGGGAATAAAGTGAATAGTGCAAGATACAACGTATCAGGTGCCTGGGATTACTTGATTGAGTTAATAATTTTCCCTCTAACTGCAGACATCTTTTTAAGTTTTGTCCAGTTATAGATAAAGTCCCTGGGAACAGAACTTGGATCTTTATTAGTTCTTTCACTGGATCCCACAGATATCGCCCCTCCTCCGTTTCTTGGGGCTTCGTCAGATCCAGGATCAGGATCTGATGAAGCCCCAAGAAACGGAGGAGGGGCGAAACGTGTCATCCGCTGCAGGATGCTTGTCTGATACATCACATTATCGACATGACAGTGGTTGATCTCAAACAGCGAGACTAGGAAATTACCTATGTCGACAAAACGGGATAAACGGACACTTTGAACAAACTGTTTTTTTCTAGTCTCAATGACCCGAGGGCCTGCTCCAGCAGAGAAGGGGGTCCCCTTTAAGAGAGTCTATCCGTTGTGAAACAGTTTGGATTTTAAGCTATTTCTATGCTGATTAAATCACTTACAATGGATGCTGCTTCTTGATGTTTAAATGTTTTAGTTTTCTGCAGAATTGCTCAAACAGCAGGTGTAGCAGGAAGGTCTCAGTGGCTGTAGAAGCTCTAAAAGACCCTAGGCCTGGAACAGTAGGCTGATCCTCCTGCTGCAGGGCAATATGGCTCTTCTTGAGTTTGGGGCTGTGCCGGAGATGGCGCTGGGTCAAGCTTAGAGCCTCTGCAGGCAGATTGTTCCAGTAACTGCAAAATTCCCTAAAGTCACTCGCACTCTGTTTGTAGACAGCAGTCAATCTCCTTTATTGACTGAACATGATTATTCTGACTCCGATCGTTGTGATAGCGAAATATATCCCTTGCTGAGACCTCTATGCCTGGCCTGTATAAGCAGATATACTCACTGCGGACAATCCTCGTCAGATAGCTGAACTCGTCAATACCGATTCATTCAAAAGAGGTGTTTATTCTTTACATCAGGATTACAGCAGATGATAGGAACAGCAGATGAACGGTTGTAGTATTGTGCGGTCAGAAAATGATGCCTTTCCTACGTACTGTGCAGATTACATGTGTGTCCTTGTTACATGTGGCTTTTAACTGCGGCCATGACACAGGAAGTACTGCACACAGGAAGAAGGAAGGGGCGTACACTAGGGGGAAATACATCGTCACATGAGGAATAATTACAGAAAAACATGTACATTACAACAAAAGGCCACTAGATGGCAGCATAGGATAACACATGAATTTAGCGATGAGAAAATAGTTAGGCAAATCACACTATATAAATTCTAACCTATATAACAATGCTAATATTAACTGAGGCTATGCATCTCATATTCTATAACATATTCTATGTCCCATTGGGGCGGCACAATGATGTCACATTCACAAAGCTTGCTTTGTGAATGTGACATCATGTTCAGTCAATGAAGAAGATTGACTGCTGTCTACAAACAAACAGAGTGCGTGTGAGCTTAGGGAATTTTGCATTTGGTGTGCGGATGCATTCGCTGTCACTTTCGGCACTCCCCAGTTTTCGTTTGGGCTTTATCCGGTCAGGAGTGCGATGGGATCTACTACATTTTGAAATTGTTTCAGTAACTGGGCACAGACAGGCAGGAATTTCAGAGTGGACTTGGAGGTCCCTGTGGTCATGGGGGAGGCCTTGGCATCTCACAATGCAGCTACAGAAGACTCCAACAGAGAGGCCCTAACAATGCCAAACACCCCCAGAACCTCTAGCAGAGTATGGACCTAGGTCACCCATGGCAGAAAGACGATCCTCTGTGTGTCTTAGTGAAGACCTGTTGTGTCCGCGA